GAGCTTTGCATCCCAGACAGAAATCCAAGCTGATTCTGCGTAAAAAGTCCCCCACTAAAGCTGGAAAGCTTGTTTTAAATGCTTGGAAGCTCTGGGGAAAGAGGCTATGCATGCAGCAGGATCTGAGTTCTGGAAGTCAATCCATGTGCATGGGGTTTTATCTTGGGGTTTTTTCATGATTAGCTGGAGAAAAGTGGATCTGTGTGTGAGGGTAGGTATTTTTTATTATTAGCTGGAGCAAAGATGAGTCAGTCACACAGGTCATGCAGGTCCCTGCTTATCCTGCTCCTCTGTTCTGCTGGGGGAATGCTGAGCTCACTGATATTCAGCAATTCAATTGACCATCATGAGGATGCAGAAGTGCCCTGGATTTGGACTGTTTTCTCTTCTACTGTGAATGCACAGAGATGTAGATTCCTGTGCTCTCAGTGCTGCAACAGTAGCACTTGTAAGAATAAAAATTGTCTCTTTCAAGACTGCAGGAATAGCTATTTTATACAGGAAGCAGTGGGTTTTGTTTGTTTTTTTTTTTTTTTTCCTTCTTCACTGAAATGATAGGGGCAGTTTCCTAAAAATTATATTTGTAGGTGGAACTAATGTTGGATTTCATCCTAATAAGCTACTGGAGTTTCCTAATACTGCGGCCTTATTTTTTTAAAAAAAGAAGTTTAAAAACAAACCCATAATTTCCTTTTGTCTATAAAATCAATTTCCTTTTCTGTATTTACTCAACTCAAACCAGATGTGTTTTCATAACGTAAATGGTTTGCTGTTGTGTTTGGTGCATAAGTAATGTGCTGCTGGTGCTTGCCTAGTCATGTTCTGTTCCTGCATGTGCAATTTGGAAGGATCTATTCCTTCTCAAAATGCTTATCTCCTAAAGCAGAGGAGCTAAAGGCCACTTGAGAGTGCACATAGCTGTCCTGGGCAGAAGGAGGTGATATTTTTTGTTAGGGCTCAGTCTTACACGTCAGCGATGGATATTCCAAAGATGTTGGGTTATTTACTGATGGCTGCGTAGTGGAAATATGTTGAGGATCTCACTGGCCTGAGGATGTTTGTCCTCTAAATCCTCAATATGTTAAAATCCCTTTGAATGCTTTCAGAACTGCTGTTGATGCGATATGCAAAGCCTAGCCACTTGCCTACAGTTAGTAAACATCATTAGTGTGATTTCTCTGAGGCTTCAAGTTCTTTTATATTATCTTCTGTTGAAATCACAAGAAGGTTAAGCTCCTAATTCAGGTCTGGAAGTGCAATAGTACATACAAATGCCCAGCAAAATCAAAGGAAACTGTAGCCACTGATACTGCCACTTAGCTACTTATCCCAGGGGAAAACTTACAATTGACAAATGTCTGGTGAAGAAGCATAAGAAAAATAAATATTGTTTTTTTTTTTAAAAAAAAACAGCTAATGTTATACACAAAGGCTGAGATTTTGCTACCAGTATGGAACAGTGAAGTGTATAGCTTTGGTAGAGTGGTATATCCTACTAAGATGGAGAGGGACACAACACACCAAACACTCAAGGAAACACTTAAATTATGAAACCATTTAACTCCAGTGCTATTGATGAATCATGTGGGTTTTTTTCCTCCCCTACAGAATTAAGAAAAAATTCTGTAGGGGAGGAAAATAATTTTCCCCACCCCAACTTTTATGAATATAAGAAGAAAATAAAAGAAAAATCAAGAACATTCCCGGTTTTGGCAGATTTGAAGTTGTATGGGTCAGGGTGAATCATCACTGAGGCCAGTTTGACTGGAATGCTGCGAGTGGGTGTTTTGTTAAAGGTGTTGAGGAGCTGAAGTAGTGTGGTGTAATATAGATAATAAAGTAGCTGGGCATTCATAGAATCATGGAATCGTTTGGTTGGAAAACACCTTTGAGGTCGAGTCCAACTGTACCTGTCCACCACTAAACCATATCTCTGAGCACCTCATCTACCCGTCTTTTAAACACCTCCAGGAAAACAGAATACAAACAGCAACTTAAATACTGCATGTCTTTATTGCAGAGACGCAGTTGCACAATGCAGATTGTTTTATTCAAAGCCTGTAGAAATTGTAAGAAAGGTGGCATAGACAGACAAACTGGGTCATAGTCATTGCTACACAAGGAAATATGGGGACTTCAGAATTTCAAACTGCTTATCATTCAGAAAACAACACAGAACCAGTTAAAATGATTGAACTCCTCTACAAGTCAAATTTGAAAAAATATAGAAGCTTAGATTTTTTTCATATTTGGACTAACAAAAGGTAGAAGTTATTTCAGTTACATCTATTAATTGCTGTAGAGTTTCACAATGGGCTTATTAATGACCTTGCAATAATTGAGCAGATAGAAAATGAAATTCCTGGACACTTTCCTGTGCAAGCTGCTGTAGGGAACCTGCTCTGGCAGGGGGGTTGGACTAGATGATCTCCTGAGGTCCCTCCCAGCCCCACCATTCTGTGATTGTGTGATTATGGAAAATGAGTCATCATTGTACCAGGCATAGATTAAAATCTCTTCTATGAAACAGGATGTTACTGCAGGATTTTACGTGGAACAACTGTGAAAGATAACACTGGACAAAAAAAAAGAGAAATGCATACAGATTTTTTTTTTTTTTTAAAGGGAGGGAGGGAATAGAACTGAGGTTAAATTTAAGATCCAGGGAAACAAAAAGGAGAAGTTCCTAAACTTTCTAATGCTTTGTGCTACCAGCTGATCAGTAGAAGAGGATGTGAGTATGCGACTCAGGCAGTATGTCTGATGTTCCCCACAGAGATGGGGCCATGTGGCAGTCCCAATTCTGGGGGGGACTCATTCTCAGCTTGCCAGGTCATCATTCATCTAGTGTTGCCAGGGATCACAGCAATTCCCTAGGACAGAGGAAAATGTGTGGACCTCATGAGCCAGATACAGAGCGTTTGTTCCAAGACTGACTGTTGGTTGCCACCAACAAATACACTGGGATTTGTTTTGGTGTGTCAGATTAATGCTCCAAATAGCCTTCATGGTTATAGACTGGTTCTTATTTTCAGGGTGCTCAAAGCACCAAAAGACACTTGGATAGTTTGCTGTCGTTGCCATAGGCCAAAGAAATGATGCTAAAATGATCTTCATGGGCCAGTCTGAATCTTTGCCAGAGATAATTCCTTAAGGCATGGATAACGACCCGGTGCAAGCTGCCGTGCCTGGTGCTGCCATGAGCAGGTGGGTTTGGACCAGCAGCTACTGCCAGCTTTGTCTTCTCAAAAAGAACACTTCAGCTGTGGCGGTGGGAAGGTGGCTCCTACAAAACTCTAGCCACATGTGCTCAAGATATAGATGTGAAAGCCACTCAAATTTCTAAAAAATGGAAGTACCAGCTGGAGTTTTCTGCAGAGCAAGGACAATTACTCACGGGTACAGACATGGGTTTTCAAAATGCAATGCCTGTCACAACAAGGCCCTTTGTATTTTAGGGAGAGACAGCTACTCTGCAGACACCTGGGTGGACACATGGGGAGGATCCATATTTTGTTGCCGTAGATTTCCTTTCTGGTAGCCACAGAGAATACTTCAGACCAGAGGCAAATTGTTCAGTACAAGTGGTATCAACGTTAACGTTTGTTTTCCAGAAATGTTTGTCATTCCTGTAGGTGACAATATAAACACAGTTCCCATTCAAAGGAAGGGAGGTTTTATTAAAAAGCAGGAAAGTCCATGTTGCTGCTTCTACTTGCTTACTAACGTACTCTTCTTAGTGCAAAACAAATTAAAACACTGAAACATCACAAGAAATAAACAAAAATTAGCAAGATGGAGTATTATAAGCCAGAGAGCAGGTTTTTGGTGATATAAACTGGATGGTTGATGTTACAAACTCAAAACCACCAGCTTGTTACCATAGCATGTATATTGCATTACTTCAAGTGATGCTAGCTATAAAATACCTAATATTCTGAATTTCAAATGTATTACTTTTATCGCATAGCTGTTCTCCATAAAGACAAAACTAGCAATTCCTGATTTTTTTTTTCTCTGTTGCTTCTTCAAAATTCAGTCAATATTCTGCAAAACAAAGTGAAAGAGTTGATGTTCAGAATATGCTGTATTTAAATAGCTGCAAGCTGATATTTGGAGAAAGGCATGAGATACGAGCTCGACAAACCTCCTATTTACTGCATTTATTGCACTTCCAATGAAACTGTTTAGTTAGTTGAATTTAATAGACATGTAGCTTAGTACAGGACACAATTTGTAACAACAAAGTCCCCGCAGACCTTATCCTGCCGAGCAGTTACGGTGTGTGATGATGGAGACCTCCAACAGGAAGGTTAGAAGAATATGGTAAAAGAGAATTTACATGAGTAAAATTTAACGTGTAACTACTGGATGGTGTGTTCACCCTCCCTGAACTGTACCTCTATACAGACATATGACCTATCACAGATTTTTATAGAGATAGATTGCTTCATGCTTAAGGAGCATTGAAAAATGGCTAGTTGGCAATCATGCTACACTGGAATCGCAGCCCGAACCTTCAGGCTGATGTTAGGATATTTCTATATTAAAACTACCCATGATGTCTTTGGAAGGTTGTATGGAGTATGTGTGTGACATCCTGTGGTGTTGATCAGAGTGGGATTATTTCCATGGAAACTTTACCATTAGTATCTTGCACGTGGTTGATAGTTTGACAGAGCTCAGGAAATAAAATGAGGATATCTGCAAGAGAATATACACGTTAAAGAATACTTACCTCTGTCTAAAGACATGAAAGTAGTTCTTATTTATAGTTTTCTGCATCAGGGTTGGGAAGAGTCAGGCTTTCCCTGGAATTCCACTTGCAAACTTTTATTTGCTTGATAAAATGTCACCATCTGATAGGTCCTGTTGTCTTCAGTTACTTCAAACATGTATGTTAGGCAGGTACCTCATGCTTCATGAGCCTTGACTGCTCGCCCTCATTGGTGCCTGTGAATGGAAAGACAAGACCATTATCTCTCTAATTTGATTCATAGAAACTGTGAGTGAAGTCTTGGATGTTGCAGCTTCTTCTGCCCAGGAAGAAAACTTAGACAGTGTCAAGGAAGGAGTAGCCTCAGCAGCTCAAGAGATTTCGGACACACCCTCAAGGAGCCAGGACATTGATGCTGAGGAGTCGGGGCAAACTTCAGAAGGTGCAAGAGTACAGCTGGGTCTGAAATGTTTTGTCTCTGTAAAGCACTAATTGCTGTTTGCACTGGACTAGCTGCAAGAGCACGCAGAACTCACAGGGTGCCATGTGGCTGCTAGTCAGGACTGTGTCTGGCATGGTAGTGTGAGCAGAAAATTTCGTGTGAAATTCTGTGCTGTGCAGTAGAAATCGGTGTTACTGCCTCGAACCGCGGTGTTGTTTTGTGCTCAGTGCCCTGCTAAGTGGCTGGATGTTTATTAAGAACAAGACATTCTCCCTTGTCCTCCGTATGATGTAACACACTTTTTTCACGTCTGACTTCATTTGAAAGATAGAATTTTGTTAAATTACATCGATGTAAATAAAAAAAAATAGAGCATGTGATATTTATAAACTTACAGTGTTTCAGTGAAGCTATAAACAATCTTATCTTGCTGTTGAAGTTGAATGATAGAGTTGAATGTGAGAAAAATGTGTGTTAAAATCATAACTGCGGAGACTTTCAAAGGAGTTTAGAAGATTGGCCTCTAAACTCTTTTACAATTAGAATTAAAAAGCTAAAAGGAAAAATGTCTGTGTACCTAATATGACTTTGTAAATTGTACCCCTTTAGTCTAAGGGATACAAAGGATCCTTTGGACTAAAGGAAACAACTTACTTGACTGTTTGTTGTTGAATAAGTTGTTTCCCATGTTTCTCATTGGTGTTTTGTCTCCATTTGCAGTTTCTGTGGAGGAGAAGACACCTGAAGAAGCTGCTACGGAACCCTAAAGGTACACAGTACCACAGCAGCCTGTGGTTTCCCACTCTTCACCTTTCCTTTTTCCTCAGTTAGTGGCAGTCGCAGCGTGTGGTCAGACTGCACATGCGCTCTGGTGGTGAATTTGTATTTCTGCTCCCAAAAACTACACTGCAAAAAAGCTCCTTAACAGAAATATTTCTTATTGTTTGGGAACCATTGCTGGCATCTGGTAGAGACTAGGGAGCAAAACTTTTCTGCATCGGTTGTCACGCTGGGTATTTAGTTATGGCTTTATCTTAGTCCCATGCAAACGGGATAAAGACCCAAGAGCTGTAACTTTCTTCTAAGCAAAAAGTGTTCTTTGGACATTGATTTAAATAGTGTAGATACTGGACTTCTGGATTATTGCCTTATACAAATGAACTCTTCTCTTGTTAGCCCCAGTGGAAACACGGGGAAGTTGTAACCTTTGCACTGTTTTTTTAAAGGCATTTTTTCACAATCAGTCTCTCTGCGTGAAAAATATTCAATAGAATATTCTTACTATTTTGCTAGTGTCTTGCTCAGCTGGCTTTATTACTTTATAGAGTAAAAAACTTTGTCCACAATATTCTTATTATTTTGCTACTCCCTGAGACTCCCCTTTCCAAAATGAACTGGTAAGATGGTGATAGAAACCTGAGGGAATAAAAAGTTTAGCTGAAACATGAGCATGAATCTTGGTAGAAAAGATATTAACCAGAATAGAAACAAATGAAAGGTGAGCAAATAAACCTCCCGGGTCAGGAATTCTCAAAATTATTTTTGCTGCTAGTTAACAATTCATACACTAGTTCTTGGAGCACCGGTGCAAGAGGAGAAGGAAAAGGAGCAAAGAAAGTTATTTTTCATTGCATCCTCAAAACGTATGTACTAAATACACTTACACAACTTTATTGTTATGTCCTGAGTCCTTTGCAAATGCATGTTTGCTTTTTCCATCATCCACTGCAATATAAAATAAGGTTATGCCTCTTACCTTCTTGTGATAAAAAGTAAATATTGTTATCAAACTGCGTGGTCTTTTTCCATGTTGTTTTAACATTCAAAACTAAGGAAAAAAAATCATCAAAGCAAAGCCAACCCCACAATTATAAAATAATTTACAAAACACTAGTGTAAGTTATGTTCCTCTACCAAATAGAAATTTCCTGTTTTACTGGGAGTAATGGTGTGAAGGGGAACAGATAGTTAGTGAATGTGGGTGAGATGCACAGAACAGTTGCAAGTGTGTGTCTCTCAAAGCTGTTATTTTTGCTCAAAGTGAAAGCTAAGGGCACCTGAGGATATCACATCAGGAAAAGGAGTTACAAAGGAATTCTCTCCACTCTGGGACACATACATGCAGCGATATAAAGCAATAGAGTTAGGATATTTTTTTTTCCCTGTAAACATCTTGCAACCCGAAAAATTGTTGCATTGTTGTCCCAGATTTTTTATTTACACAACAAATACCCAATTAAACTAATGAAGGCAGAGACAGTAACTGGAAGAGGTGGGAGTGGGAAGGAAGGCAAGCTGTAGGAAGCACCTTTAATGGAACAAATCGAAACTAAGTGAAAAATAGGTGAATCTACTACCAGAATACAGGTCCACTGAATTCTGCTTAAACTGCTTGGGCTCTTATTGGCAAAAAAAAAAATATCTTTTTATTAATATAGCATCACAAGGTTACAAAAAGTGTCTCTTACTACATTCGGATCCAATCTTGATGGGGAAGAAAAAAAAAAAAAAGTTTATCAAACCTTTTACTACTTAGTGCTGGAAGGTTGCCACTGGATGGAAAGCCAGGCTGACTTTTCTCAATTTACAAGCCAAGAGCCACAGTGCATTCCCAATTAGGAAATATCTGATGTTTTTTTTTTTTCTTTAGTGTATATTTTGATTGTATGCACTTTAGGATATGGACCTTAACTTTAAGTCTGTGTTTAAACGCATTATACTTTTTAAGGAATTCAAAGGGAAAAAAAACAAAACTCAAAAGAATGTTGATGTGAGAATCAAATTAGTATCCAGTTCACTTTTTTAAAATAACACTAATCAATGAAGGGATAGAAGTAGTAGTAACGGATGAAATCCTCACATAAAGCCTTGAATTGAGGTTGAGAGCGTGCCTGAGTAAGGATACAGTATTATTCCCCTTTCTTTTCAGAGGACAGCAATTCTTTTGGCCCTGAATTCACACTGCTATCAAGCTACCTCTATCAGTAATCTCAGCAAACACAATTAGTTTACCTCATGCTTAAAGTTAAGCAGGTAACTGTTTGTAAAAGTAAGGCTTAGTGGGATGTGTCCAGCATGCAGTGGAATTCATTTATACCTGAGCAACAGGGCTGAAGATGAGGAGATTCCTTGCCATTGGGCTTTGTTGGTGCTGGCAGAGCAAGTTTTCACAAGCCATCAGATAAGCGTGATTTACAGCAGCAGTAGTGTTTATATGCTGTAATTCACTGAAATGATAACCTGCAGTCAAATGCACGGCGTGCTTTCAGTGTTTGCAAAGAAAAATACCTGATGAATCAAGTCTATTGCTAAACATCATGTATTGTTGCTATCTCTAAACCAGATGCTTTTTTTTTTCTTTTTTCCCCAGTAAGCAGTGCTGAAGCCTTTGAAAAGTCTAATGGAAATATTTGTGGCCATCAACCAGCTGATTCCTGTGTGAAACGTCATGCTCTTCCTCGGAGACATAAAAGAAATTGTGCAGTTTGTCATACTACACAGTGCTCATTAGGACCAGTATTCATTGCTGCAACAGACAAGCTAACATGATTGAAGGTGGTTAGAGAGACGCTTCTGTGATTAACATCTCTGCTTTAGAAAGTAGCACCCAGTCAGAACTGTCAAAGCACCACCCAGCATGTAACAAATACACCTGCTAAGGGAAGCAGTAGACGTAACTGAAACCGTGTCAGGTGAACTCGTTCTAGGTCTTTGTTGTCTCGTTTTGTACATTGATTTCTTGCTTTTGGTCCAAACTGTGATGCATCATTATACCATTGTAACATTCCATGCTAAAATGTAAGTAAAAGGTTTTAACTGAGTTAAAATCTTATAAAAATTACCTGTTAGTGTTTTTAAATTGGGTCATGGAGAAAATGACAATATCTCATTTGCTTGCAAGTTTGGATTTGCAATTGGAAGCATAGGACATCTAATTTCCCCCCCTGCATAAACATTTTACTTGCTACCCTTCCTTGCACAATAATATCCAGAAGTAAACATTTTTAAGGCTCCTGCTTTGAGAACAAAACCCATTTGCAAGTAGTAGCAATAGGTTCTTTATAGCATGAAAATCAAAAGAACCCGGGTTGAAGTTATCATTGCTGATCAAACTGGTGGCTTCTACCTTGAGGGTGCTGTGCCCCTTTCCTACCAAACCTTATTCAGCTTGCTCTGGTCTTCCCGTGTTGTTCTGTCTTAGCAGTGACATGCAGCAGTAGCGTTAAAAACACCGAGGTTTGAGAGAACTCTCCTGTACAAATCCCCAGCAATTCAGGCTACAGTAAAGCTTCCTCTCTGAGCGCTTGCAGATGGACAGCAAAATCCCTGGGGAAGGTTATGCCACAGGTGTTCAAATGGACAAGGATTCTTAGGGACTAATAAAGAACAGAATAGCTGAATAATCTTGTCTTGTTAGTATTTCCTTAATAATAATAATAATAAAATCTATAATGAATCATGGGCTTGCATGACACTGTTCTCCTAACCCTGCATTGTGCATGAGTGTGCATCGACGACAACATTTTCTACTGACTCTCCCACTTGCTAAAAAGCCTTACAGCCATCACAGAATGGTGATAATTCCAAACCCCAGCCAAATAACAGGTATTATATACAATTTATATCGGAAGTGTGAACTGTAAGGTGTATATGCTTGCTCTTCAAGCAGAACTTTGGAAAAATGTTGAAATGATAGCATTATGACATCCCTACCCATGGCACAAAGCAACACATGCTCCTTCCCCCATCATAAAGCAGATTGTAATAGTGTTCCAACCAAAATACGGCCTGTTGCCCCGGTACCTGCTTAGGAATAACTGGAATAATGCAGAGGTGAAATCAGGCTCCTCAGCTTCAGGAAGCCACACCACAGCCTTCTGCTTAAATTTTGTAGACAAAGTGACTGGAATAAAAGTCTTAGACTGACACTTTGTTGCATGAGAGTCTGTCTTTACTTATCTGGTAGATTAAACCCTGTGGTGGGTGCATACTGTTAAATGTTCTGCTTCCTCATTTCCACTAATTCCCAGTGAAATAAACTATTTCCAATTTCTAGAGCTGGCAGCAGGATTTCTGAAATTGTAGTCTTTGCGTCATGTTCCTTTATCTCTGGAACTGCTCTGGTACATGGCAAAATATATTGGCCATTGGGAACAGATGCCTGAAGAACTGAAGCACCTATGGTGTGCTTCACTGAACCTATGGTGTGCACTGAACCTATGGTGTGCTTCACTGAACCTATGGTGTGCATTGAACCTATGGTGTGCTTCACTGAACCTATGGTGTGCTTCAGTGAACCTATGGTGTACCTTGAACCTATGGTGTACACCGAACCTATG